GTTCCTCGACGTGGAACCAGCCCCAGCCCCACCGCGGGCTCTGCCGGAGAGGGGCACCCGTCCCTGCCTCCTGCCCTGGGCACTTCCCTCTCAGCATCCCTCCTTGGATCCTGCCCTGGGCACCTCCAGGTCGGCACCCATCCCTGGATCCTGCCCTGGGCTCTTCCCTCTCAGCACCCATCGCTGGATCCTGCTCTTGGCACTCCCCTCTTAGGACCCCTCCCTGGCTCCTGCCCTGGGCACCCCCTGCTCTCAGGGCACGCTGGTGCCACCAAACCCGGCTCGTGCCTGCGGCTGCCCGGCTACTCATCCAGGGGGGACGGGGTTGTGTTGCGTGGCCTTGCTCGCTCCGGAGCAGCTGCTGTTGAGCAACACCAGTAATCAATGAGTGGCATTTGGCTGTAGGGAGATGGGGCAGGATTATAACCTGTTCGACTGGGCAGCAAATGAGCCTTTTATTCTGGAGGTTTGAGTGTTGGCAGATGCCCTAATATCATGTTGCAAGTTCGGTTTATCCCTAATGCCCCTGCCACAGGAATGGTGGAGGATTAGCACTGACAAAACAGTTTTCCCTGACGATACACCAGATCGGCCGTCCCTGCTCTGGCAGGGAGTGGATTCCTCCCCCGGGCCTCGCTGTAAACCTTGGTGTGTGCTTCGTTCCGGTGGTTGGGATGAGCTCTGTGGCACTCTGGTTCCCAAGGAATGAGAAAGAAGGGTCCCTAATTCTGGGGGCACGTGCTGCTCCTCACTGGCAGAGATCTGCTGCCACGACTTGGCTGATGTGACCCTGCTGAACGTCAGGGGAGCAGTAATGCAGCAGGTTTTAATCGATTTATGCCTGGAAGGTGTGAACGTGCAGCTCTGCCTGTCCCTCCTGCCCCCGAGGGCTCGCCTGGGTCCTGGGCACGGGCACGGACATTCCAGTTTCCTCCAGGAACAAAGGTGAACTCTCAGGGATTTGATCTGAGCCTTTGCTGCGCTGCAGGGTCTGCTCTGGGCTTTGGCACTGCTTCCATGTGTTGGTCAGGGCAAGATGGAAATTTGCATGGCTTAATTCAATACCTGATCCCAGCTGGAATCTTGGAGCTGGAAAGGCAGAGAGCTCATGCTGCTCTAGTGCTAGAAATGCACAGGGTGTGGGGGAAACCTTCTGTCTGAGCCAGACGTCATGGGAGGGAGGAAAGGGATGCAGAGCCTGCTCAAGAAAGTCTCAGACCTCTACTCTGAGAGTCGGTACCAGCTTTGTCCCGGGGAAGCAGCCACCTGCACATCTGGGCATGCAAAAAGAGGCTGGGAATGAGGAGAAGGGAGAAGGCACCTGGGCATGGCAGTGGGTACCAGGAGCAGCTTCTCTCCTACTCACCACACATTGGCCCCACCAGAGCTGTTTACACGAGGCTGTTCACCAGAGAAGCCTTCCAGGCTTCCTGCTACCACCTTCCTTCCAGGTTGGCTTTCCCTAGAAGGTGGGGTAATGCCTCAAACCAGGCATGGGATCTTCTCCCAGCCCCTCCTCTCCGGGCACACAACCCTCACCACACCCCCCCCATTTATCACTTCCAAAAAGACACTCTGAGCAACCATAACACAAAGGGAAGTG